ATTCGTACTTGTAAGTTCCTTTATCTCATCAGTTGCCATATAACGTTCCAACACAATGCGGGCATACCCGGTAAGGTAGACTTTTAGCATGTCAATTTTATCCCCAGGCTCGATCTTCGAAATCGACATAGTAGTTTCGAATCGTTGTAACCACTCAATAATATTCTCGTTGCTCTCTCCAGAAAAAGGGGGGAGCGTTGGGAGGGTGAGGCGAGCAGTCGGAATCTTCATATTCTCTTTCGGAGTCACGATCACGTGTTGTTCGGCTTTCGAGCACTCTAACATTTGCTTTAGTTCACTGATTTCCCTCTGTATTTCAACATCGTCTGACTGTCCGGCACGAGTTTTTAACTTTTCAATTTCTACAGCTATTTCTTGTTCTTTTAATCCTGCTAATTGTTCTTTCAACGACGCAACTTCTGCTAACAATTCGCCCTCTTTTGACATCTCAATTCTTTCTCTCAAACTCTAGATTTCGGCGCGTAGTTCATGTTCTTTCGTGTGTTCAATGTGTTCTCTCAGCCGAGCTACTTCTTCCATTAATTCCTTTTCCTTCGACTGTTCGATTTGCTCCTTTAGTTTCATAATTTCTTCCCTAAGTGTTTCCCATTCCTTCGCCATTTTGGATGTCGTTGACCTCGTATCTGGCATCCGATTAAAAACTTCTATTGAACGATATATAACGAATTTTCTTGGTTGTCCCTGTAATCAAGTTCATTTCCCGGGCGAGTCCCCAATTGTGACGGTACGCGAATAACACAAAACTGTAAATTATAAGTATATTTCTTTTACACTACACAAGACTTGTCCGAACTTTAAGAACACCCCCAAAACGTATCCAAAACGTAGGCCTAGCGCCCACGAACATAAATATAAACATTATGTGCTACGTCATGTAGTTCGCTACAGTTACTTCATTTAAATTACTCGGAGTATGGCATCAAAGTGATTTAAAATGGATTCGCCACGTAGAGGAAGTCACAAAGATAGCAAGCAAAAGGCTTTATTATATCTGAGAGAATGTAGGCGAGCTAACTTGCCTACCAACGGTTTAACGTGTAATCTTACAAAGATTAGACCGTTGCTGGAATACGGTGTCCCGATATGGGGCGGTCTTCCGGGTTATTTAGGGAACTAATTAGAACGTATTCAAAGAAGGAGTCTGCAAATAATTGGGCTTCCTTGTGACACTTTGCCTTCCTTGGAAGAAAGAAGGAAAGCAATGACGTCTCGTGAATTCAGAAGAATAGAGAAAGACATAAACCATCCGTGCCACGCATTAATTCCATAACAAATGAATCGTCAGTATAATTTGAGAACAAACAAGCTATATCATTCTGTTAAGTCAGGCACCGAGGGACATAAACACTCCTTCCTAGAGCAATTTCCCTAAATAATTGCGCTAGGTTTTCATCTATTTCATAATTGTATTATACTGATAGTTGTATTCAATCTATATCATACGGTATTATTTAGCATTGTAAATATTTTTCTTAACATTGACCGATTTATAACGTAGAATTCGTATCTGTAATATATACAATTCAACATCTTGTACATATAAAACCATTGTATTTTTTATCCTAAAATAGGTAATCAAGTTTATCATCAATGAAATATTACGAAATTTTGTAATATTTAATTGCTTTATTTTAATTGCTCTATTAAATTTTGATATCAAGCACTCTTTCTTCTTGGATACTTTACTTAAAGTGCATATATATCACTTGTGGGATCTTTACGGATTTGAATAGAGCTTGAAAAATTAGTATATAAGTTCTCCAACCCTTTTTGATATAGTTAAATAGTTTCGAAAATATTTATGTCTAGACATTACGATTTGCCCAAATTTCGTGCTCGGGGGCCTGGGACTAAGGAACCGAGTTCTTGTCAAACATGATATAATCTATTGTAATTTTACTTCTATCTTCCAATAACGTAAAATATTTTCAGAAAAACTCGCCCAGTTGCTACAGCCATACACAACGCACCGCTCCCGCATTTTCTTCCTCAAAAGCGCAAACTATATCGCCAGTGAAAATCTTGATGTTCACATTATAAAAGACGGCGTGTTTGCAAATCATTCCTGAGTCCCAGTATATATATATTAATATATATAAATATATATACCGGGTGGCGCAAAAAAATGTTCCTCCTCTTTGACTTAATTTAATTTAAAAACTAAAAAAGATATCATTTTCAAGTAACGTCTATTGAGTGGAGTGGTGTTTAACTTAAATTTTAATGTAAGCCTTGTAAATTTCTATACAATATTAGCCAAGATATTGGCGTTTAAACTCAAGGTAGCGTTTCTGGAAGAAGCAAAAAATGTTCTAAAATAGAATGAAAACAGCACGCAACAGTAAGAACAAATATTGATAGCTTTGTTTGGCAAATCCTCACTGTTTTTATGCTCGGAGATGGAATATTATTCCAATGATTTTGCCATCGACGTAAAACTTCTCTTGCATTGTTAGTCCTCGCATATTCCAAACAAATCAAAACTCGTTGCTGTATCGTTAAACGAGGCATGTTTATAACAAAGCGGGCAAGCTCCTTTGTTTTCGTTCCCTTGTGCATTGCAACTCCTTGTTCGAACAATGAACAGTATTATTTTAACATCAAATACACTTATTCTTCGAATACTTTAATCTAAGAATCTTTAAACATGCAAAGACAACATAAAAAACGCTTTAAAGAACGCCTATCGTGGAAGTTGAAAATAACTTAGTTGCGTCGCGATATTTAGTCATGTTATTCGTTTCGTCAAAAAATGCACCTTTATTTTAAACGGCTCGATCTCGTCTAGTATTTTACAGAATTGTTCAAGACATATATCAAAATTTAAGTTAGACATCACAGCGTTCAACAAACTTTATTTGAATAAGATATCTGTATTAGTTTTTTAATTACGATAAGTCTAAGAGGGGGAACATTTTCTTGCGCCATATGTATATATATATCGATGACTCATTGATAATTTTCCTAGATGCAATATTTAATATACTGGATTTAAAGTTCACTGCAAAGTTGACTGTAAAGAGAGCTGCAATCTCCTATAATTTAATTGTAATACGACTCAGTTTAATGTAGCTAAAATGCTTACCATTATAACCTCCAACATCCAACTTGTACTTTGTATTTTCACTGCTGACATTAAATGAATCATAATGAGCGTAACTTGTGTTTCCAGATGTATCTTCCATGTCGATACGAAGTTCATTTTCTAAAATATTTGTCATCCTGTGTATTTTGTCAAGACCAAGCCAATATTCTCCGCTCAAGTTACCAAAACCTTGTTTGTAATCTTGCCATTCTCGGTAGAAGTCAACACTTCCATCAAGACGACGTTGAAATACAGTCCATCCTCCACCTGATGTTGTCATATCACAAAACACTTTGAAACTTCCCTTTCCCTCTGGATTAATTTCATAAACTCCACTTTGGTTATTTCCCTTTTCATACAAACCAGCGCAGCCGTAACCTGAAAAATATGGTTTTTTATCACAATTTAGTAGTCCAATAAAAGCAATTATAAACGGGTAATAAGCTCTTGCATTTTTTCTTGTGCGAATGTTTCAAATAGTATTTCAACAGCGAAAATTCTCTTTCGTTTTTTAAACACAATGCTATATGCCTTACAGTTTTCCACTTACGCGGTTTTCAAACGCACGTACACGCACGTAAAAGTCTGAATCCTTATACATGTGGCACAACTAAGTAAATAAAGCGAAGGAACTTAGTTTTCTGTATATTTTAGTATGCTTTAGTTAGCCTTGATGTTAAATAATAAAATTTAACGCCTGTTCTGACGTTAACTCCGGCGTGCCGCGCACGTGCCAGTCTTCTGAACATAAACAATACAGTTCATACTCATTTAGATGCCTTGCCAACCTAAATGTTGGTCGATCGCGAAATTCAGAAGCACATCGTACGTTAAAAGTAATTAAAAAGTCGATTAAAATATTCTTGCCTGAACATATTTTCCCATTTCCTAAAAATCCTCTGCGACAATGACATTCGTATGAGCCAATAGTGTTATTGCAGGTTGCATTTGAGTGACAATTCTGACTTCCCAGGGAACACTCGTCAACATCTGAAATAAACGATCTTGTCAGGAGCCTAGTCGAAGACCATACACTTACATTGTTTAATATATCTTCATGCATTACATTGCATCAATAAGAAATTTATGTGTCAAAAGAATGCTGGTACACCCGACTTCATACAACAATGTCGTACCAGATTCCTTACATGCAGCTAGAAGTGCTTATTTCGATGAGTTTGTCAAACTTGGTTCGAACTTCTTGCTATATAAAAAGTGGATTAAAATAATCTTGCCTGAACATGTTTCCCATTTCCTAAAAATCCTCTGCGACAGTGACATTCGTAGGAGCCAATAGTGTTATTGCAGGTTGCAGGAAAACCACTTACATTGTTTAATCTATCTTCATGCATTGCATTCATTTGCATTATTAAAAAATTATCTCACAAAAGAATGCTGGTAAACTCGACTTAATAAGAGAGAACAATGTCGTACCAGATTCCTTACAGCTAGAAGTGCTTATATCAATGAATCGGTCTACTTTGTTCGAACCTCTTGCTATATAAAAAAGTCGATTAAATTAATCTTACCTGAACATGTTTTCCCATTTCCTATAAATCCTCTGCGACAATGACATTCGTAGGAGCCAATAGTGTTATTGCAGGTTGCATTTGAGTGACATTTGTGAGTTCCCAGGGAACACTCGTCAACATCTGAAATAAATGATCTTGTCAGGAGCATAGTCAAAGACCACTTACATTGTTTGATATAATTTATCTTCATGCATTGCATTGCATCAATAAGAAATTTATTTGTCAAAAGAATGCTGGTAAACTCGACTTCATAAGACAGAACAAGGTCGTGTCAGATCCCTTAGAGCTGGAAGTGCTTATATCAACGAGTCTGTCTACTTTGTTCGAGCCCCTTGCTATATAAAAAAATCGATTAGAATAATCTAACCTGAACATGTTTTCCCATTTCCTAAAAATCCTCTGCAACAGTGACATTCATAGGAGCCAATAGTGTTATTGCAGGTAGCGTTTGAGTGACATTTGTGAGTTCCAAGGAAACACTCGTCATCGTCTGAAATGAACGATAAAGAGTTCATAAACTATAATTATAATATGATAGAAATTATTGCGTTAAAAATGGATCTGACGCCTATAAAATGTATGGCTGATACAAGTATAACATGTTAGTAAAATTAATATAATGTGAAATAATTAATCTTGCCTATGCATGTTTTCCCATTTCCAGCAAATCCTCTGCGACAGTGACATTCGTAGGAGCCAATAGTGTTATTGCAGGTTGCATTTGAGTGACATTTGTGAGTTCCAAGGAAACACTCGTCAACGTCTTAAATCAACGTATTAATATTAAAAATCAACGTAAGCTTAGTTGAAGACCACTTACATTGTTTGATATATCTTCATGAATTGCATTGCATTTAAGAAATTATCCGTCAAAAGAATTCTGGTACACTCGACTTCATAAGAGAGAACAATGTCGTACCAGATCCCTTACAGCTAGAAGTGCTTTTATCAATGAGTTTGTCTACTTGCTATATAAAAAAGTCGATTAAAATTATCTTACCTGAACATGTTTTCCCATTTCCAGCAAATCCTCCGCGACAGCGACATTCGTAGGAGCCAATAGTGTTATTGCAGGTTGCGTTTGAGTGACATTTTTGAGTTCCCAGAGAACACTCGTCAACATCTGAAATAAACGATCTTGTCAGGAGTCTAGGCGAAGACCATGCACTTACTTTGTTTAATATATCTTCATGCATTGCATTAATAAGAAATTTATTTGTCAAAATGCTGGTACACTTGACTTCATAAAAGAGAACAAGGTCGTACCAGTTCCCTTGAGCTAGAAGTGTTATTTCGATGAGTTTGTCTACTTGTTTCGAGCCCCTAGCTGTATAAAAAAGTCGATTAAGATAATCTTACCTGAGCATGTTTTCCCATTTCCTAAAAATCCTCTCCGACAATGACATTCGTAGGAGCCAATAGTGTTATTGCAGGTTGCATTTGAGTGACATTTGTGAGTTCCCAGGGAACACTCGTCATCGTCTGAAATAAACGATCTTGTCAGGAACCTATAGATGTGTTTATCATTTCCGCTCAAGATTAGGACCCAGGAGAATTCTCCTTCATTGAGTAAAGTGCACAAAGTCTTAATTTAGTGATTTATTCTCACCTACTCGCAGGAATTACTATGCCAAATCCACACCAACTACGCCCGTTCTTGTGAGTTGCCATCTCTGTAGAATCATTGCACCCGCATCGCAAGGCGTGGGTTCGATTCCTGCTGCATGTCTAACCGATATCTGACTTTAATTTGAGTTTTTATGAATCCCACTCGAAATTAAGGCAACGTAAATTTCACTAATATCTTCTCTCAAGAATGAAAATATTCATATTTTTTTAAAAACAGACTACTGATCTCACAAATTTTTCAAGCAGCTCCTTCGGGCTCGATCAACACTTCTACATTGCTAACGAGTGTTTCGTTTTTGCTAAAGGTCCTAACCCTAGTCCCCACCCAATTATTCGTTCAAAAAGTTCCTAAGGTTCATTGGTACGTATTGCATTAATGTGGCGCATATTGACAGAAGATTTAAAACATTTCTCATTGCATAATAGTTAATAAATTTATTTAGTTATTGTTTAAATTCCCGTAGTTTTGTTCCGAATGATATTCCGAATGTTCCAACATTTATAATTACGTTATTTGTGGTAATTCTAAAGCAAATTACCTGATTTCCTGGTAAGTTTTTTATTTTCAACTCTATTCTTTGCCTATAACAAATTAATTACAACAATAATGAAGTTAATTAGATGTTGATATTAATTTTTATTCATTAATCAATATATCACTACAATAATTACACCTCTACATGCAACAGCATCATGAAAATTACGACTCTAAATTTATCCCCGAGCCTGTGCAGAGCACCGTGCGAGGGTACTAATTCTGCTCGGATATTTACACCCACGATGTGCAAATGCGAAATCAAAGTCGTCCGCCATTATGCAATGGACCTCACGCTATCAACGGTCTTCTACGTTATGCGCATGCGCCAGTGTGAACTACTAAGCTCTTGACTGGTCGAGACAAAAATTTGTATTTACAAACGTCAATGAATAATTGTCATTTAGCAAAATTTTGATAAAATGTACAAATTTTTATTTTCATAAATATGGAATATATGTATTTTTACTCAATTAGAAACTCGAATGAAGTCAGGACTTTTCACGGTTTAACAAATAACAAGACCAAATTTTCGACCGAATTCACCTTGTATAATGAAGTTGAAAGATTTTACACTTGATAATATTTCATCGGACACAGTTTTAAAAAGTAATTCTTTTGTGGTAAACACAACTTTAATAATCTCAAATGTATTTAACTATAAATCTGAATGTGTTATGTGATAAACGACATTATAATTTCATTTATAAATTCCGTTTTCATAATGGCAAAAAAAAGAAAATCTAAATATTCCCGTGCAAAAACCAGTCGAAACGGAAACTTCGGAAGTTTTATGAGACGTCTGATGTTATATTTCATGGTATTTAATAATTAAAAAAATTTACCATAACACTGACTATATATGAGTAACTTATCTTCCAAAAAAAGATAAGAATCATGTCGTATTTCTGCCATTTTTTCTAGTATTTCTATTATTTTCATTCTATAAATTTCTTTATTCTTCAATGTTTACTTTTGTCCGGATTGACAAAAGAGACATGAGATACCGCGTATATTTCTTAATAGAGGAAAGGGTAGTATTTTGGCACGTTTACATGCAGTGTGATCCAAAGATTGCAGGTATAGAAAAAATATTTTCTAAAATTTTTCTCGCACAATCACGATTGAAGTTGCGCGTTGATAATTCATTCTACAGTTTCATATTTTATTCAATGAAAGAAGGTCTCCGATCTGGTCCAGTTACTGTGATTAACTGGATGTAAATCGGCAGGATCTTTCCCATAGCTAGGTGAGTGTCGAGGGTCTGACATCAAATATTGTTCACAAAATTGTTCAATTAACTACTTCTTTTTATAAACCATGCATTAATTGCACATAAAATACTCAGTAAAGTGAGAAAAACTAGTAAATCACTTTTGCTATCTTTGACGTTCAGAGTCGCAAACTCTGAAATTCTCTGATCGTCAAAGACATAAAGACCCAGAGAATTTCGGGCCGTATAAATGAATGAATGATTTAATTAGGTGAACGAAATTGACCGGCTAATAGACCTTGCTTACAAATAATTACACGGATTTCTGAAATTCGTACATCGACTTGTACTAGGGATGCTTGATGCGAGCAATCCTAGCCTTGTTCGCAAACAAAAATACTGCTAAAACCGCAGAACATTGTGATTAACAACAACTATGACATAATTATTACCAGAGGTAAAGTGTTTGGCAAAAGGCTTGTTGTTATCTTGGTTGTTGACGGACCTACTGTTTTCACCGAACTTTATTCTTAGAGATCTTCCAGTTTCCCAGATATATAGTAAACCACATTTGTTGCATGAGATGCAATAAATATGAGGTTGGAGGAGAGGCATTTGAAATGGTGCCTGATTAAAAACTGTGAATTGGGAGCCGAAATAACAGTGCCAGAATCGTAAATTAGCATGTTTTACATTGGATAATGCCACAAAGGAATGTGCCATTAATTGGGCTCTGAACAGTTTTGCTGTAGAGAGCTGTGAACCAATGTGTCCCGGATATTTTTGTTCCGCCAAAAACAGACTAGGAGGGTATCGGTGAAAATGAAAGATCTCTCAGGATCATTCTGCAAGATATGAAAATTCCTAAATATGACATCTCTAACAGCAAAATTGAAGGGATGGTGTGTTAGAACTAAGAGGGTAGAATTATTGCTAGGGGTGGTAGAGACAGGGTCTCTAAGGGTGTCTAAGCGGGAAATGTCGGAAGCCTTAGATAAGGCAGTGTCAATAAGTGAGGAGGAATAGCCGCGCCCTGCCAAGAATGATCTCATCTCAAGACATTTGGACCGGAAAGAGTGAAAATGAAGTGAAAAATAAGATTGAACAGAAAAGGGGACAGCCTTTAGATATGAGAGAAAGAGCAATGGAGGGAATTGCGAAAATGCAGGGACAAGTGAAAATGCTGGACAATTACAAAAGAGAAGGAGATCATGTCACATGTTGGAATGGCTACGACGAAGGATAGAGGTGGAGAAAGAAGAAAGAGAGGCAAAACAGGAAGGGAAGAAAGCATCTAGAGAAATGCAACAAGGCCAACACATGGAAGCTCTGCAGATGATGAAACAAACAGAAATGCAACAAATGCAACAGCAATTCACTATGCAGATGAAGCAATCAGAGCAGATTTTGAAGTTTAATAATAATGTCCGAATCCTAAATAAATATATCAATGTGTATGTAAATGCAAGCAAAAAGTCTTGCAAGCCTTACCGCTTCAACATTTTGCATTAATATCCAATCTCCCGTTTTCGTTTCTTCTTTCTTTCTAGTAACGTTTGTCAGTTGGCAATTTTCAACATTTTTTGTTGCTCTGTAGTTGAATCCAACACATTTGTCTTCGTCTTTGCAGTGAGTGTGACATCCTAACATGACAACTGAAGATGTAACATTGTGTCTTGATATTATTTCATCCGCAGGCAATGAGGGACCTCCTAAAATTTTTAACAAAATCCTTTAATGTCAAATTAATGTCCAAATTTCAACTAAAATTATGTGTTTTATTCGGGCTGCATGATTTCACCACATGAAACATTTAAATGGTGTTTCATGACAATATTTTTTCCCTTACTTTTTTCGACAATACTCACCTTTTATGATTATGTCGTAATTCGTCGGGGAACATTGGTTTGCTGAAATGTCTCCAATTATAGCAAGCAACAGCAAGCTCAAGCTGGCCGCTACAAACATCGTTTAAATCGTCTCTTGTCTGACTCGGTAATTCTGGAAGATATTTTTCGAAATTATGACCAAGAAAAAGAGGAATAGAAAATGATCGTGAGATAATTATGATGTTGGCTGTGTTTTAAAAATGTGAAAATACAATTAAGTTGCTATAGCGACGTAATCCACTTACATTGGTAAGAAGGGAAGCGGATGCTTTTAGTTTGAAAAATTGTTGGACTCGGAAGAGTTGACGGTTTTTCGTTAACAGTAGCAAAAAAAATTAAATAAAACGAAATGATTACTTTATTATTAATTATTAAAGGGTTATTTTGCTGTCTTGAACTCGACTTCTAATGTAGCAATATACATGCTGTTACGTCGCCGGTGAGAACGAACAAAATATGAGAACAGCATTTTTAAACCTTTAGTGAACTATAGCAATTTAAACCTAACAAAGTATATTTAAATATTATCCTATTTCTTAATAATAACTTATCTGCATGATCTGAGTAACATAGTGCGATAGCTTGACTGCATGGTAACTTGAACAGCGAATAGCTAGTTGGAAATCCATGTTGATGTGTGTTGTCAGCTTAAATTAGCATTGTCAGGTGTATCGCTCTATAGATTTAGCTTTCTTTTCTCTCTTCAGTATTCGTGTGTCCCTATTGTCTAGCTGTGCGCAAAAGTTAAGCGGTGAACAACTCGTACTATATAATCCTTGATATTGTAGGTGTGTACTTTGTTTATTTCGGCTTTTTATGAACTTGCTATGTCGTTTTGCGAAGACCTAACTGACTATTTTAAGGATTTTTATCATCGTTTTAACTTCAAAAGAGTTATTTTCTGCATGATTAATTCAATAATCGAAAAACAATATTCGACGTTTAGTGATTGGGAATTTAAATTATTTTTGCTGTTTTAAAGGTTTAGCTATACTGAAGTATTAACTAGTAAGTCTAATGATTATAACCGCATGCAACGCATGCAGCAGGTAAATGGTGATTTCATTTCACCTTGACGACTGTGTTTGCTTCTGCGTGTTTGGCTCGGCGCTAAAACAAGTCCAACTCTTCGGAAGTTGTTTGTTTTTATGTAAGGTCGGCAATTTTCGCAGATATTGACGGACAAGCATGCATGCAAACCTTTCCTGAAGCTCTA